AGGGAGCCGCAGGCTCTAACACTTGCTAATCGCTCATGAATGCGTGTGCAAGAGCCTGTCTTGGAGAAAAGCCGAGGGTGTATAGTTGGGGGCAAGGGCCAGGCAATGGGGGAGATCCCTGTCTCAACCCCCGACAGATTTGAAAACTGAGCCAAATTTTTCCTAATACTAGCCTTCGCTGTAATTAGACACTTGCATCACAAGTGATCTGCTCCTTTGGGGACTTCCTGAGACTTACAAAAAGCCCAGATAGCACAGATGTGGAGCAGTGAGCTGCCTGAAAAATATGCACTAACTTCGAAGAATTTGGTTGTGGGGTGTGTTAGAAGCACTTCCAGACTCTGTGCCCACTTCGGGCCTGCACGAGTGTGATTACAGCCACTCACTTGGCACATAATCCTCATTAGTTCTGTCCTGATATTAATTTACAATGGGGACATACATGGGATAATCCTCAGATGAGAGATGTGGGAGAAAGTAGGTGCCACAATATGCAGTGAACTCGAGAGAGCCCGAGATTTAGCCACCACTTGAGTGTCCCACTTGAACTGAAGGCTCTGACAGCACTGGATTTTGTAGGAAGCTATCCCTATGAGAATGAGGAAGACAAAGAAGTCTTAGGGAAAGGGGAGAAAAAAACTGTGTAATTTCAAAGTTGAAGTGATGTGTGTTTGGAGAACAAAAGACAAAGTGCTTGATGTAGAGCAGCCTTTCGAGGAGAGTGGGGGAGGTGGCTCATGCCATGCACAGGGCCTTGGTAGAGTGTGAAACACAAGATTTGTCATTCCTCCCTTAAGGTGGAAATGGCAGAAAGCATTTGAAGACAGCTCTGTGCTGTTAGCTTTTAATAAGAGGACTCCTAACTGAGCCTGTGGGAGCAACCACACCAGGGATAGTGGAAAGTGGGGAAGATTCGAGCAGAAAGGATGCTTGGAAGGTTTTTTGCCCGATATGCACATCTCTCCATGTTCCCCAGGACTTTGCATAACCCTGGCTCCAAGCTGCTTGCAACACTGCTCCATATTCCAGCTGATGGGAACTGGTAGGGGATGCTTCTCGTGAAGAGTGCTTACAGCTACAGCACTCTAGCACCATGTGCATGCAGGCATGGATGAAGGACTGGTAAAGACCTATCAAACCCTAGAAATCCGTGTTCTCATCAGCCTGCTTCCCACCTGCTTTTTGACATGCAGCTTTCTTGCCCTGGATGCCCTGTGCCAGTCTGCCCCTGCATTGCTAACAAAGGGCCTCACCCAGTAATTCTCAGGGCATTGAGAGACTGGGCTATCAGGGGGAGGGAGAAGACTTGTCCTTTTCTCTACCTGCTCCCCTAAGAGTCAAGAGAAAGGAAAACTGTATTTTAATATGAATGAGGGCCTAATTTTTGTTATTCTTTCTTGATTCCCTTCCTTCTACAGCCTGTCATCTTGGGTCCAGACTGCCTATGACCATGCTACAGGGGACAGGCTGTCCAGAGCCAAGGGCTGGGCAGGTGCTGAGGTCTGCAGGGCAGGAGTGTTTTATATGCCTAACTTGGGGAATGTTCACTTTCAACAAAAATAAAATAATAAAATTGAAGGTGCCTGCTTTGGATGAAAGCTCAAACAAGCTCAACAGAACACAAGGCAAGTATTTCTAGCTGCCTTCCCCAAGCACACATATCTCTGACAGAGGATGATGGTTCTCAAGAAAACCTCCGAGGGGCAGTGGGGCTCTGCCCATGGTTCCCTGTTCACTGAGACAGCACCCTGTGCCTCACTGAGCACCACCGACATGAGCAGAATGGCACCACAACACACAGTGGTACTTCACAACATTCACCAAAACACAGGTGACCCACATTACAGACAGCTACAGGAGGGCACCTAATCTATGTAAAATCTGAGACAATCAGCGTAGCATTATCCTGTTGATCAAAATGAGTTTAACGATGCTCTAAGGTAGGAAAACCCCAGCATTTCTGACGCAGTGGTGTGAGCTCCAGAGCTGGATTTACAGCATTAGCCAGCTGGTGCTTCCCCAGCCTCCATCTATGTAAACTGGTGTTTTTGCATCGCTTCAAAGCAAGCTTGAGCTCCAGCCCTCTGAAGGTGGTGACCCTACCGAGAATAATGGAAAATCCTTGTAGGGGGAACTTCCTGCATGAAGCACCTTCCAGCCACAGTCCTATCTCACCGTGCTTAGACAAAGAGGCCAAGACTACTTTTGGACCTGAGCTTGTGTCTCTTCTGCTGAAGCACTACAGAAAGGGTTTGTTAGAGAATGCTACAGCCCAGTGAGTGGCTGCATTCAGTCCCATACACTTGATAGGAAAGATGTGTGCTTATGTCTTTACAAACAATTTCAAGGGTGAGGGTATGGGTCAAGAATAAGCCAACTTATTACTCACCTGACTAATGCTCCACAGTACATAATGAACACGTAATAAGCTAAAAAAAAGAAAAAGAAGGAGAGAGCCACAGAATGAAGGGAGAGGGGGACACAATCCAGTGGGTCAAAAACCAAATTGTTCCTGCTATTTGGCCATGTTGGGAAAAACAGGATTAGACTAGATCTGACCCGTGTTACTGTTTCAGCTGAAAACAGTTCCAAAAGAAACGTGCTCTGTGAGTCATTTCTGACAGGTATTCTTTAAAAGCACATCAGCTCTAGAGATTCATGGGCAGTACATGAAATCTGAAAGCTGATGGTGCCACAGGCAGATGTTACAGACCAATCACTTTATTAGCTTCCCAAATATCCACATCATGTTTGCCATAGCATTCCCTTGTCTGTATGATTTCTGGATTTACCTTTGCAGTATGTTTCTATCATTTGTATCATTTACCTGGGGGAAAATAACTGAGTTTCTTTTCCTGAATAAATTCTGACTTTAGGTGGTATGGTTTTATAGACTTGCACAACTCTTATTTCTCTCATAATTACATTTTAAAGGATATGTTTGGTGACATGATTAGAGGTATTGTTGGGGTGAGGAAGCAAATTATCCTCACTGGAAGGGAATACGTGGAAAAGAGATTTGGTGGTTAAAGCATACAACAAAGGGAATAGAGGACAAATGGGATGAGAAAATAAAAATATTAACAAAGACATAAAAAAGGGTGGAAATTAAATCAGCTGGATGCTCACTACAAAGCAGGTCTGACTCTGGGACATAAGCTGATATATACGCAAGAACTGATCCATGTACGAAAATTGCAAACTGTGAGCAGTCCTGCTGCCTTTCCAAACACACACGCAGCTCTCCAAGGGAAGATTTGCTGGCAGAGGTGGTGTTACTCCGTCTGTAAAACTCTAATCCCTCTGCCGCGGCTGATCCTCACCAGCCGTGTGTCCTCGGGCGACTCGGGGCTTCCTCTGGGGCCGCCAAACACCAGGGCTGTGCCTTGTAGAAACCCCGCGGGTTTTTCGTCCTTGCAAGGGGCTGGATTTGGCGAAGTGGGAGAGCCCCCGCGGGGATCACGCGTGTCCCGGGGCAGCTCTGCCAGCAGGGGACATGGGGACCGACCGGCGGCTCTCTGCTCCGCAGAGGGCAGCAGGACAGCCTCGCATCGCAGGGAAAATCCCTTTCCGTTCGTGCATCTGCTCTGCGAGCACCGAGCAAGTGGCCTGACCAAAATCCACAGCCCGGCTTCCTCTGCTTGCTTTGGGGCCAGTTCTGGCCCTAACTCCGTATTTGCATCCCTCACATCCGATTATAATCTCTTCCTCCCACATTCCTGATAGTCCTGATCTTGTCTGGATTCTGAGAAACTAAATCATTAATTAGGAGGTGATCAAAAGCCTGGCAATAACCCTTCCTTGCTAGCTGAGAGGACCAGCTGAGGCTCCTTTTTCTTTATGACTCAAGATAGGAGGCGGAGATATAAATTGAAATCAAGGGCTGTCTTTCTCTGTTACGTCCTAAAGACGTTTGATAGTGCAGTAGGTTAGTAGCTACACCTCTACTTGTGTCCTGTTTCCTTGTGCTAGGAGAGGTGGGGAATTTGCTTTTGTATAAAGTTTGCATTTGTACTTTTTCCAGGTGATTTTCCAGGTTTTGTAACTCCCGGGCTATGAGATCCTCCCGATAAGTTTTTAACTTCCTTAAAGTAAGCAGTAATAGCTGTGGGAGGAGGGTGGCAAAGGAAAGAGTTTATTTTCCCCAAGAAGGCCATAGGCCCTAACTTTAAATCCTTAATATCTGTAAAGCTCTTTTACAGCTGTAGTGTTCTTATCTCCTTTTGAATCTGATTTGGTGATTCCCATCCCTCCCTGTTGTGTAGCAAAAATAATTATTTTTGTTTTATTTTTGTTTTAAGATATCACTTCTTAAAGTCTTAAATGGTAGGGGAAAGACGCTTGGAAAATACGTAGAACAGGACTGCCTGGCTCAGGCTTGGGCGAGCTGCTAGGAGAAGCAGCCCGGTTTTCTTTAAGCCCTCTTCCCTGCCATACAGACAAATCTGTAGGGCCATCCCCCCTGCCCCCAGTCCGGATTCACTTGCGGGGAGGTGGAGGGCTTATCAATTTGCAATGATGGTTGCGATCTGCAATGCAGACGCACAAAGTCTCCGCATACCCCGCGGCGGGCTCCGGGGCCATTCTTTCTGTTTGGGTGGGGACCTGTGAGGAGAAAGAGTGTGAAGTGTGGGGGTGGGAGTGTCCGCTAAGCACTGTCCAACTCACCGGGCGACTCTGCTCAGGCCCGCTGCCCCGAGGGGCCAGCAAGGACCTGCCTCCCATGCCCCAGCAGGGAGGGGTGTACTCATCCCCACCGCGGCACCTACGAGCCAAGCTGGCAAGCGCAGACCCGTGCCCCAGCCCTCCCCCAGTCCCTGAATACCCTCGAAGTCCCTCCCCCCGCAGTCAACCAACTTTTAACATGACAATGGCCGTGACAATACCCTCCAACCAAGGCCAGGCTGGGGAGGACATAAATGGGGTGCCTGTCCACAGCCTGTCGCTAGTTTCGACGGCTACATCGCCTCATGCTCGGTACTGGGGGACCCGGCTCCGCCATGAGTGCCCACCTGGCCACGCCGCCTTACGTGCCCTACCCCAGCACGGCCAGGTATGGGGACTACTACTGGCTCTCCGCAGGCAGCATGGACAGTATGCCCACCGAGGAGGCTCCGGTGCTGGACGCGCTCCCCCTGCCCGCGGCCAAGACGCCTAGTCCCTCAGGTACGTGTCCGGGCGGCCGAGCCATCGGGCTGCCCGGGACTGGGAGCGGCCCGGGAGCGTGCCCGGGGCTGGGAGGGATGCTGCTACTGAGGGAGTGTGC